GAATAAAACCAAGAATATCAATGAAGCACAACTGTCTGCCCCACGATGGCCTCACAGCAGAGTAGTGGTGTGGGGAGAGAAAGGGTTCTGAGGTCAGCCAGATCCCAGTGTGAATGCCTTGGCTGTGGAGTCTCGGCACGTGGCTTCACAGCATCATGGTGAGGGCTCCACAAAAGGGTATGTGGGTGTCCTCGGCACCTCTGGCCCACCAGCAGCACTCAAGCTGATGAAAAATTACCATTATCAGTGCCTCTTTTAGCCTTGGCTTTGAGCAAATTAGGAGTATTTCTGAACCTGTGTCCTCATCTGTGAAGTAGACACCTTTATATCTGGTCTCTGAGGAAGAAAGCCAGGTGCCGAACACACAGGAATGAAATCTGAAGCTATATTTCCTCACCCTACCCCACTTCCATTCTCTTTTATTCTTACCTCTACCTTAAAGTGTCTCAACTAGTTGGTAATCTTTTCCTTGAGACTAGAGGACTGAAGTCAGGTGCCATAGGGTGGTGGCCTGGTGTCATTTAAGTCAGTAGAGCTGGCTCTGCTGGAGGTAGAGGTCCTGCGGGGAGGGGGTGCTGGTCATGAGAGATCTGCCTTTAGGGCCTTATGTGTCTCTTTTCTCTATCCACCCTTGTCATCATCCCCAGATTCAAGCTTGAGGAGAAGAGGGCCTGGCAAATGTCGGTAAGCAGAGGACGGGAGGCCTTGGATGCTGCAGGCTCATTTCGTAACAGTTGTATATGCGAGGCCCTGTGCGGGTGCTGAGTGCAGCAGTGGAACAGATAGAACTCTGCCCTCAGAGAGCTTATGTTCTAGTGGGGAGGCAGGCACGGGTAACAGTAAGTCAGCGTATGAGAAGACAAGAGGAGCTATGGAATAACTTTCCAGAGGTCACTCAGTTGTTAAGGACAGTCAAGTTTCAAACCCAGACCTGTGTGACCCCAGAGGGTTATCCCACTAGCCTTGCCCACTTCCCCTTCACCCCAGGCAACTTCCCTGTCTCCTGGACAAGCTCCAAAGAGCCAGAAGATGCTGTTGCAACCATGGACCTGGTCCCTGGGACTGGGTGGGTGGCACTGCCTGAGTAGAGCCAGATTGTTCTGTTTTCTGGACAGGGCCTCGCTCACATGCTGCCGAGCACACCAGCCTCAAAGGATAAGAATGAATCACAGCAGAGAGGGCTAGCTTAGTCAGCAGCCCATGCTGGTATCTGGGCATCATCAGAGACATCCATCTGTCCCTACCCCCATTCCCTGACCTCCCACTCACGGTTGCCAAGTGCATTGCAGTGGTGCAGGTTGTGCCTTGTGCAGGGATGCCTGGCTGAGGGGTAAGTTGAAGTGAAATATGCTCTGCTTGCCAAGTAGTGTGTCTGGCGGGCACTGTATCAGAGACTTATTCTCCCGCCAAGGCACTACAGCGGGAGGCAGTTGGGTCAGGAGCCCCACACATCCACCTGTGGATGATGCCTGGGTGAGGTCACCTTGCTAAAGGCCAACTCCTGCCCAGGAAGGGGCTTCTGCCTCCATGGGGAAGGCCTGTGAGATAGGCTGCAAGCGCTAGTCTTCTAGATGCCGTGTGCTCCCCTGACATCATCCCAGGGCAGTGGGGGGCTCTGCAGAGCTGCTGGTCTGGGCAGGAGTCTGGGCCCCCATGGAGGTTGAGGTTCTCATCCCACCTCTGTCTTATACTGTGTACCTCAGAAACTTACTTCCCCTCTCGTGGCCTCACTTATCTGTAATATGGACCACCTGACCCCAGAGGTCACTTTGGCAGCAGCATCCTGTTCCTTGTTCTGAGCCTGTGTTTTCTGAAATATGGGCTTTTCAAAGGCCAATAACAATGATGGTGATGACAGCCAACTTTTCTTGAGGGCCTCCTGTGGGCCAGGCTCTGGCTAAGTGGAGTGTATGTATGGATGATCTGAATCTCACAGCAGCTGCTGAGATGGGCACTGCTGTTATCCCAGTTTACATAGGAAGAAACTGATGCCAGAAGTTAATTACCCTAGGTCACAGTTAGAAAGCAATAGTGGCAGAATTTAAAGCCAGCTGCCTGCCTGCTGCTTTACACAGGTTAACTGAAGCCCAGAAGGGCAAGTGACAGAGCCACAGCCTCACCTGACAGAGCTGGGACTAGCATGTGAGGTCTATTGACCCGTCCTGGATAGCTGAGAACTTGCCAGATGGGAGTTGACCAGAGTGGGCACAGGAAGGTACAGGAGGGCAGTACTGCCCACTGTGGCCCTCAGCTGAGGCTGGTTTGCCCTGGCGCACATGCACACATGCGCACACAGACAACCTGTGCACAGCTCAACCTGTAGGAGTCATAATGAGCAGGTCTTGATTTCCCAGTGGGTTGGTGGGAGGCTTTCTCAGCAGACCCAAGCCCCAGATACTCTGAGACCTATTCTACCCTTCCTAGATAGCATAGGTGATCTGGAGCACCTCACAGCACCTCTCTGGGCCTCAGTTTCCTCCCTCGTAAATGGGATTATAATAATACATACTTCTTGGGGTTCAAAGGGGCCACATGATCCCAGGGGTATAGTGAGTATTTCATAAAGGAAAGCTGCTACTGGTGTACTTTGTTGGTAGGAGACTTTCATTAGTCATTAGGAAGGGCTCTAGTGCCATCCTGCCTGGATTCTAAGCCCAACTTGGCTGTTTTCTGGCAGTATGACCTTGGCTAAGTTACTTGACTTCTTGGAGCCTCAGTGCTCTCATCTCAAAAGGTATACTAGGTCCTACTTCACAGGTTGTCCTGAGAATTAAATGAAATGATGTGTTATAAAACTTTTAATCTAGTGGCAATACATAATAGATGTACAATAAATCAAGTAATGGGTAACATTTATTGAGCCCTCAATGCTGAACATTATTAGTGTCATTTCTATTACTATTACTCTTTTATTAATAATTCACTTGGATTAGCAAACTTCTTTCTACTACTACCCAATCAGGCAACCGGTCAGACCCACCACCTCATATCCCTGAAAGTAGAGGCCTAAATAGGGGAAGTGACTTGCCCAAGGTCACACAGCTTGCTGCTCAGTGCCTATGTGTTTTCATCCAGCCAAATCTGCAACAGATCTACTGTTTCGTCTCAGTTTCCCAGAGGGACACCCTTCCCTTTGCCCCACCCCTCCCCATTACTCTCCAGAGCCCCACAGCTCCTGGAGCTTTAAGCTTTGTGAATGTCTTGGTTAAAGTCTCAGCCGTTAAACGTTCATCTCTTACAATTTCAGTTCAATTCCTATAAGTATATTGGCAAGACGGGATGTATTAGAGCTGCCAAATTTAATATATCAAGTCCATGTGTCTGGGATGTGGTTTTTCAGCAGTAATGGGAGAAAAGAGAGATTTTTTATGTTTTCATTTTGAATGACTGTCTGTTCCTAATCCCATTATAGCTTTCGACTTAATGGTTGCTGTCCCTGTCTGCCACAGGAGTGGCTTTCTCCATCAACCCACATGGCTGCCTAAACTGTCTGGGGGGCTTGTTTGTCTCTGTGTCTATCCCCATTCTCTTTCCAAGATGCCTTCCCCTATCCATCTGCCTGTGAGTCAGGTCCTGGCTTTATTTTTATTTGCCAGATCCTGGGAGTCTGGAGCTTTTGCTGCTAGCCTGGGCTGCTACCTCATGACCTTGGGGAAGTCACTTGTCTTTGTTCTCTGGGTCTCAGGAACCTGCTCTGTGAAATGAAGGGTCAGAGCATAGGGCCTGAAAGGTGAGGGGCTTGTCTGGGCTCAGGCTTCGCTGAGATTATACTTGATGGCCCTGAGCAGACCCAGTCCTCTGGTCTTGTGGCACCAAACTGGAAGACACATGGGTTGGCCATGAGAGTCATGGAATCAGCACCTACCTTGGGTTACAGATTTCCTGGCTCGGGAGTGGCAGCTTTGTTCACCGCACCTGAAAAGTCTTATGGGTTTTCAGACCTCATTTCCCTCTGTGATTGTCTGGAGACTTGCCACCTGAGGGTTTAGCTAATCTCCTTGGGAAGCTATTTGCATTTCTGCCTGAGCCTCTGGCTTCTCTAAGCATTGAGCTAGCAATGGAAGAGAGGACACTCGGCAGCTGGATTTCAGGGGACCTGGGTTTACTTTCTGCTTACCAGCTGTGTGACCTTGGGCAAATCACTTCCTCCTTCTGAACCTCAGTTGTCCCCTAAGGAAAATGAGAATTTATTTACTCAACAAATATTTGGTTGTCTGCTATGTACCATGCACCACTTTAGGTACTGGAGCTTCGGCAATAAACTACAATAACCCGGCAAGCGTGGATTTATCTTCCTGTTCGGGGGAAAAGATAGTAAACATGACAAGTAACTTATTACTTAAAAGGTGATAAAAATGAGGCAGGAATGTGGAAAACTAAGTATAGAGTGGAGGATTCTGCAATTTTAAATAAAGTGGTCACGGTAGATTACTGAGAAGGTAGTATTTGAGTAAAGATCAAAGGAGTCGAGTGAGCAAATGTGGCAGGTATTGGGAAAAGCGACTAGACAGAGGGAACAATGGGGAAATGCTGGGAAGTGGGCATGTGCCTGGTGTGTTCGAGGAGCAGAGAGGAGGCCTGTGTGGCTGGCGTGGAGAGAACAGAAGAGAGGAAGAGGTCAGAGATGTGGAGGAGGGGGCCTGGCCAGAGGGTGTAAGGTGCTGGTTCTCCAGCCTGGCTGCATGTGAAATTTTCTTGGGGAGTTTTAAAAAATACTGATGCCCGGGCCTCATCCACTGAGGTTCTGCCTTAACTGGCTTGGGGTGGAGGCAGGGCATCACATTGTTAAAAGATCTCTCTGGAATGAGGCCTCATAGGCGACATTCATCAGCCTGTGTAGTTCCTCACAGGCTGTCATGAGGTTTAGATGAGATGGCGTGTGTACAGAAAGCCTTCCTCACAGCACAGGCCTGAGGGAGTGCTCAGTGGGGTGGTGTGCCGTGGGCTTTGGTGTGTGGCGTTGCCTCCACCCTCTGACCGAGTGCTTTGTGGCTTCCCAGGCATCGGCAGCACTTGGTGCAGGTGGCCATGGGGAAGCGTTACTTCTGCGACTACTGTGACCGCTCTTTCCAGGACAACCTCCACAACCGCAAGAAGCACCTAAATGGGCTACAGCACCTCAAGGCCAAGAAGTCCTGGTACGACATGTTTCGAGGTGGGTGCCCACTGGCTTAGCCGCCAGGCTTATGGATCCTTGCTCTCCAGTCTTTCTTATCATCAGACAAGAAAACACCATATGGCCAGTGATAGTCTTGGTTGGTCTGGGCTCTTTGAGGAGCAAAATAGAGGAGGCCTGGGTCATTGGCCCCTAGGGCAGATGGGCCCTCAGAGGTCAGGCTAGAATGTGAGTGCCTTTCCTCCGCAATCTTGACTGAGGGCTCTGTTAGACCCCTTGCCAGGCTCTGGGGATACTGTAGCCAGGGAAAAGGCCTCTCCAAGAAGATGATGTTTGAGCCAACAGTAGCAAGATAGGGAAAAGCCAGAAGCACCATTCTGGGCAGAATGTATAAAAGAAGGCAGTCATGAGCAAAGCACCTTGTGCTCTTGGAGCAGAAGAGAGGGTGTGGATAGACACAGCAGGAGAGGAGAATGATAGGGCTGAAGTTGGTGACAGGGCAGAGGCCAGCTCGTACAGGCCTGTGGAGACCACAGTAAGTGGGATGGGTTGTCCCGAGGGCAGAGAGCAGCCTTTGAAAGGCTTTAGGCATCAGCCAACATGACCAGAGCTGCATTTGACAGTGATGACTGACTGCTCTATGAGCAGTGGGATGTAGTGAATGGCCATTGAATGACTGGATGGTGGATGGCCAAATAGCCGAGTTTCTGGGAAAGGCTTCTCAGAGCAGATGTGACTGGGGTGAATGAGCTAAGGCTGTAAGCACCTAGTACAGGGCCTGGCACTCCAAGGCATTCACTACAGGGGAGCTGTTCCTCACTGCTGTCATTAGACATACACACTGAGCAATAACCAGGGAGATTCCAGAGGGTGGCCAGTGAGAAGCCAGATCAAATGGAGAGAGTGCTCAGTGGTGTGGGGAGGGGGCAGTGGACCTAGAACTCCTGGGATGAGCTGGGGCAGGGCTGATGCTCCACTAATTGGGGAGCAGGATTCTGGGACAGGGCCCAAAGCCTGGAAGGAAGAAGCTGAGTCCCAGCAGCTGAGAAGGAAAGAGAAAGAGAGACAGAATTCCCTGGTCTGTGCCTCAGAATTCACTAGAGAGGAGTGAGCATTTATTGAATGCTTTCTGCATGCCAGGTGCCTTCCATGGTTTGTCATTTGCTTTTCTCAGTAATTCTCTAAGGTAGCGGATCTCAACCCTTTGAGTTAGGATCACCTTGAGACCTTGAAATAACACTGATCTCCTGACCCCCTCCCCAGAGGCAGGTTTAGGGTGAGGCCTAGGCATGGTATTTTCAAAGCTCTACCAGATCCTCCCAATTTCAAATAATGAAGCTGAGCCTCAGAGGCTTGGGTGAGGGAAGGCAGCCAGGCTGCTCAGTAGGCCAGGCATGGCTGTGAGGAGCCGGGAGTCAGGGCAGGGGTGCCTGGGAGGCCTCTGACTCTGGTGTCAGGCAGAAGCACCTTGTCCCTCAAATCCAGCAGGGGCTGTCATCTGGCATAGAACTGAGCCTCAAGTTTATCCTGGTGTTTGCTCCTAGTCTCAGACTCAGCCAAGAGCAGCCAGGTCCTCAGGTCCAGGGCTGGTCAGTAGAAGCTGTTGTGTTACTTATAGAAAAGATGAAACAGGTGAGCCCCTTCTCAGGGCTTCTGCATTCCCAGTGTCCTCTCACATCCCCAGCCACAGGCAGTCCTTAGAACAGCTCTTTGAGGGAGCCTGGGTGGGCCAGGCATCCCCACTTATACATGGTGACTTTAAAATTCAGAGTAGTGAATCACCTCACCCTGGGTCCCTAGGCTGCCATGCAAGCTCTTTCCACTTCCTCAAGAGGCTTCCCCGGGGCTCCACCTTAGCCAAGCAACCACACAGCATAGACTTTGGAGGGAGAGGCACATGCTACCCCAGCCTGGTTTAGGACTTAACACTTGCTCTGCTCCCACCTTCGTGGCCTAGACAAGGCCTTTAGCCCCCAGAGGAACTGACCAACCATCTGCCATGGTCAGGACAAGTGTGGGCCCTGGAGTTAGGCTGCCCGGATGTCAGTCCCAAGGTGTCACTCACTAACAGTGTGGCCCTAACTTCATCACATATAAAACAGCCATGACAGCAATACCCACCTCCCACAGATATGACAGGGCCTCAGTAATCTCAAGATAACTGTATAGCATGTAAGGCTTCACTAAGTGGGAACAATACTTATGGGTCCACAAAAGGATTGTCCTCAGGCCTTTTATCTCATGGGGTCATTCATTCAGCTGGTGCTTGGTAAACACTTAGCATGTCCTCAGCTCCCAGATAGGCCCTGAAGACTTGCAGGTGAAGAAAGCAGGGCCTCTGTAAAGTGGTCTCACACCCAGTTAATACAGCATATTCTGGGTGGAACCCCTGTCCTGCCCAGGCCTCCATGCCCTGCCGACCTCTCCCTCTGAGCTCCAGTCACACTGTCCACTGCAGATACTGTACCCTCTGCAGCCATGCCCTTCCTCCTGTCCTCCCCGCCCCTATCCCGGCTCTCCCATCTCAACTCAGAGTCCTCTAAGATGCCCTCCCCACCTCCCGGGCCAGGTCAGGTCATTTGGCCTCGTGCTAACTGTTTACCCCATTTATATCCACGTGGATTAGTGTGACTGTTGGACTGGAAGGAAGTACCAGGTCTGACTTGTACTCCACTAAATCCTCAACCTGGCGCAGTGCCTGGCACACAGGACGTGCTCAGTAAATGTTTGTTAGATGAATGTCTAAATGAATGAGCAAACAGACACAGGGCACCAGGGCAGCTGTTAATTTTGGGAGATGAAGCGAGAAGGACCAATGGGGTCAGATCACGTGGACCCTTGAACACAGTGTGGAAGAACATAGACTTCTTTGTGCAGGGCCTGGGCCAGGGGTTCTCCAGCCCAGGTGTACTTCAGAGTCACTGAGATTTTAACAATTCTCATGCTTTCCCCCTCAGATAAATTAGAGCAGAACCTGAGAAGAATGGACTTGGGCATTTGTGTATTTAAAAGCTGCCCAGTGATTCTGCCATGGGGTTGAGAACCACCAGCCAGATGTTGAGCAGCCTGGGACTCTTCTCTCACACTGAGCCACCCCTTGTGTAGGACTCAGGCTCAGCCCCATTGCCAGCCTCAGCTGGCCTACTCCCAGGAGTGCCCTGGGCAATATCTACATGCCCTCCACCAGCTCGCCTCCCCTGGAAAGATATGTGGCACCAGCTGGCTGGGCTGAGTCTGACAAGCCCAGTGCTGACAGATGGGCTCTTCCCTACCCTGCTGGCCCCACCCACACTCCACCAGGCCTTCCCTGGAGTGAGTCCTCTGTAACCAACTCCTGACCCCAGCAGCCCACCCCTCCCCCAGCCACCAGTTTCCCTGGGGAAGGGAGGAGCCCCCATTATTGTCCACCAGCCACCAGGAGATCAGCAACCACACAGGAAAGATCAGGGGCTTTAGACTCACATGCCAGGGTTCATACCGGCCTGTGTGCTCCACTTCCTGACCCATGTGCTCTTTACTCCTGTCTGAACCTCATTTTTCCCCCTCTGCAAAATGGGAATGTTAGCACTCTACAGTGGGTTTGTGAGGAGGAAATGCTTTGAAGCCTGTGGTCTTTGCTGTACCCCAGTGGCCTCTAGAAAAGGTGGTGGATGAATGGGGACAGTGCCCAGCCCAGGTTTGGCCTCTCCCTCCTCCAGGATGACCTCAGGGCCTCTGAATCAGAACACCTTCCTTACATGTCTTACTTACAGATTTTGACTGATTGATTCCTTGCCTCTCAAGAAGAACATAAAATTTACACCATAAATATATGATGAAAATAAAGGTAGAAAAAAATCGGAGGAAACCAGGGTTAAGGTTCTTATCCAGAAAGATTGCTGCCAAGTCCTGTGGAGGCTGGCGGCTGGTGTGGTGCTGAGAGCCTGCAGCTGGTGCAGGGAGGGGAATGGAGAGCAGTGTTTTGTATCCTTGGCTGTGGAACAATGCCTAGGCCCTGGGGTTTACTAGTAAGCTTCCTGGGCAGAAGAAAATTTTTTTTAGCTTTCTATTTTGAAATAATTACAGATTTATAGGAAATTACAAAGACAGTGCAGAGAAGTCTTGTGGTATCAGCATTAAAAAAATTTTTCTAGGTGATTTCATTGTACAAAGTTCAGAACCTCTGACCTAAAACCTGGTTCTTGCCTTTGGCGGGGAATGGGTGGGGTGGGAGAGTTGAGGTCACCTGAAGCTCAGATCCTTCTGCCCAGCATCCTTATCTGTGGTCATCCTCTCTTACACTCCTTTATGGATGGGAAGCTCTTTCCTGATCTCAGGAAGTGCCTGTGTGCAGCTCAGGTCTGAATCCAGCCCTTCTCTCCTCTCACAGATGCAGCTGCCATCTTGCTGGATGAACAGAACAAGCGGCCCTGCAGGAAATTTCTCCTGACAGGTAAAGCGTTCTCAGTTCAGGTCCCATCTACCCACCCAGGGACCAGCATGCCCAGTCCGGCCTGCTTGAACCTCTGCAGAGACTCTCCCCTACCTTGGCCACCAACTTGAACCCACTTTGTGGCTTTTGCGCATCAGCCAACTGATCAGTTGGGGCCTTCCCTAGTGTTGTGCCATAGGACTTCCGGGGGCTTGTCTTTAGCTCTTCAGACCTAGAATGTGATTTTGTTGGCTCACTCAGAACAAGCAAGTGCTGGGAGATTACAAGTAAATCCAGGGGACACTGATGGGTGTAATAGACTGGTTGATTAAGTTAGTCTGGGAGCCCGACCTCTGCTGCACCACCCGCTCTCAGCAGGCGGGGCTGGAGATAGTAATAGGTCTGACAATATTGAGAAGGTTCAGAATTAGAACCAAGGATGGTGGGTGTTGATTTGACTGCTTAATACCCAGCTAATAAAAATGCATCTAGTTCAAAGAGATAAAAACCTCAGTAAGTGAAGAAACCAAAGGTAAATGAAAATAAGGGTAGGAAAAATAAAACAAAGCCAGTAGAATTAATCTTCTCCATGCTTGCCTTGAGGTCCTATGTACTCCCTAAGGGTTTGGCCCTGAGCTTCCTAGTAGCCAAGGCAAAGATTAAAACCATGATGATTAACATGCTGTGTAAGGACACTTAGCAATGGGGAGAGGCACTGTTGTTGGCCTAGGGAAGCTGGGCGAATGGCTGCATTCCCTCAGGAGATGGTGCTGCCCCAAGATGGGTACCAGGCTTGCAGATAAGGGGCTTCCCCAAGGACTTTGATGTGTACATACCACTGGTGGGTTATGCTGGCTTAAGACATCTTCAGTCTCCTATTATTTTGAGACACATTTGATTTCCTCAACTGAGTTCAGAAAGCCACCCTGGACTTTGGTACCTCCTTTAATGGTACAAAACTGCCATTAAAGCCTTTCTGGGGAGCAGTGTGAGCCATATGAGCAGACAGGCCACCAGGCAGAGGACACGGCACGTGCAATGGCCTGGAGTGGAGAGAGGAAGCATGACCCTTTCAAGGACCTGCATGTAGTTTGTTCAGGCTGGGGAATGGGCTAGGGCTGGTGCTGGTGGTGGGGGTGGTGACAAGAGCCAAGCCTGCAGAGGCTGTGCAACCCAGTCGTGAAGGGCTTCAGTGGAATTTGATCCCCAGCCAGGGAAGGGCTGTGAGCAGGGCATGATGGACCAGACAAGTGGTTGTGGCTGATCATGTGGGCGGGGCCAGAGGGAGTCAAGTTTTTCTTCAGAGGTGGGGTTGCTACTCTTTAGTCCCTAAAGCCCTGCCCCTAAAACTCCAGTGCTCCTCAGCCCACGGTGGGAGCCCTTCCAGGTGGGAGCCCTTCCAGATGGGAGCCCTTCCAGAACGGCAGTAACTGTCTTCCTATTGCAGGCCAGTGTGACTTTGGCCCTAACTGCAGATTTTCCCACATGTCAGAGCGAGACCTACAGGAGTTGAGTATCCAGGTGGAAGGTATATTTTGGCGGGGACCCTGGGCTGGGGGAGGGGTGGATTGCTGAGGGTGTGTGCAGGATCTGAGGCCGGGGAAGCCGCACTGTGCCTCCTCAGCTCCCTGTCTTTAATGGCTGCCATGTGGGATAGGCTGAGGGCTTCCCCGGGGTGATGGCGCGGGTATCAGAAACTGCCTCCAAACCACCCCAGGCATGAGTGGAGAAGGAGCAGGGGAGCTCCCATCTGTGTCCCCTTCTGGTTTAAAGTGGCATGCATGGCTTTCTGCCCAGGAGTCCTGAGGGTACACCTCAGCCCCACCTGGACTCTGCTGCTAGCCTGGCATTCATTCATATTGCACTCCCTCCCTCCCTCAATCAGGCAACATATATTGAGGCCCTACTTGGCAGCAGGCAGATCCCGTTCTCTACTCTGGTATGAAGAGAGCATCTTGCCTGCCCTCAGCAGCCTGGGAATTCCAGGGAAGAGCAGATTCAGCTTTCTCTGGAATCTGGCATGCCTCCTATGGAAAATTCACTCCTTCTCAAATTAGAGAACAAGGAAGTTCCCACTTAAATGGTCTTTATCCATACCCCCATGCAACCCCTCATTGAACAGATGGAGAAACTGAGGCTAGCACTCAGGCAGAAGGGCCCTACGTGAGCCCTGGTAAATTAGAGGTCGACTCCAGTCTCCCAGGGTGCTACTGCCCTCTCCCTTCCCTCCGTCCAGGCATTGGGGCAGCCGGAGAGTGTTTGGGCAACCTGGCCTTTACCTTTGTCTCCTGAGGGGCCTTGCTACTCTCTGACCAATCAGACCCTGTAGGCAATGTCCTGCCCTGGGGAGCAAATGACAGAGTGGCTGCAGCACTGGCAAAATACATGGTTTCCAGGACCTTTCCCACAGTAAGACCCCCGTGGGCCAGGCTAGCAGCTCCTGGCTGTGGCAATATCTCCAGTTCTTTACCAGTCTGAGTTCAGGGAACAGCTGGTCCATGGTGGGGAGAGCACAGGCCGATGGGCCTGAAGCTGAAGACAGTGCCTAGTGGAGACAGGGATGGGAGAGGCCAAAGGGGCTGGGAGCAGAGGTGCGCCCTCAGCTGGCATCTTGGACAGTCTTGTCTCTGCCATATCCTTTGTGACGCTGGCACACAGCTTACTCTTTTGGAGGCAGTGTCCTAATCTGTTGAACACAACTGCTTTTGAAGATGAAGTGAGATGATGCCTGTGCAGTACTAGCCCAGGACCTGGCCTGGAGTAAGCATTGGTCCATGAGTATGATTATTTTCCTCTGACTCCAGGCCGCATCTTAAACCATCTCCTCCAAGACACTGACCCCATCTCACACAAAGCTTGTTTGAACTCTCGCTGTTGCTCAGTTTTAAATCAGTGAGCAAAGGCTTTTATAAGACATTTTATGAGAAGAAAAATCAGGAAAGCTAAGGCTTCTTCCCCTGCCCAGGGTCAGAGACCCGGCAAGTGGCAGAGCCGAGATTCAGATCCTGCTCTGCCCTGTTCTATAGCCCACACAACCTCTCTGTACCCCAGACTTGGACCCCTCCTGAGGGCCAGGCTGTCTACGTGCATTATTCTGTGTCCAATTCTAAAAAGCCTGGGAGGTAGCCGTGTTTTGTCTCCATTTAATGGGGAAGCAGAGTGAAGCCCAGAGGGCTGGGCCTAGGGAGTGAGTGGCAGGGTGGTGGGGAGAGGCCAGAGGCTCTGCTCCTGACCTTCCTGCCTGTGCCCTCCCAGGAAGGTTCTGCCTGTGTTGTGGGAGGGTGGGATTCAGACAGGGGTCTTCCTTCATGTCTTCCTATCCCCACAGAGGAGAGGAGGGCCAGGGAGTGGCCCCCAGACATCGCTGAACTCCCAGAGGGCCATCTGGAGGACTGGCTGGAGAAGAGAGCCAAGCGGCTGAGCTCAGCCCCAAGCAGCAGGTACAGACCCTCCTGGGTCCCCTCCTCCTGTGCCCTCTGCGAGCAGGACCCCAGCCAGCCTGACCTGACCTGAAGCTGAACAGTCTCCATGTACTGCCCAGTGGCTAGATAGGAACCCTCTTCCCAGCAGAGCTCCCTGAGGGAGTGACCATGTCAGGGCCTTTTGGGTCCCCAAGTCCTCTCCAGAGGCTGAGGGGCGTGCATTTAAGGTTCCTATTCCAGGGCCTCATCCCCCTGCCTTAGTGGCTCCTCCCTTACTGGAGTCTGTGCTGGCTGAAGGGGTGGCCAAACCAACTGGATTCCACATCACCAATTACATTACCAGAGAAGGGAGTCCAACTGTGGTTATTGAGTCTCCAGTGTACCAGTCACTGCTGTATACCCCCTGGGGTCCTGCCAGGTAGGCATAGTCACCTAACAAAAAAAAGCGAGGCCCATAGGAGGACATGACTTGCCCCAAGGGCACATGACTAGGAAGAGACAGAGCTGAGATTGCACAGGGTTGTAAAAACAGGCTTATTGTCATTGTCCCACTGCCTCCCCTTGGAGGGTGGCTACTGCCTGGACCCAGCACGCAGGATGCTCAGAAGTTAACAGGGCACCCTTCACTCCTTGTATGGGGAGCACCCTTAGGAGCCCTCAGATGTGGTCCTCCTGTTAAGGCCACGACTCCTGGACTCTTCTCCCAGGTATTGAAGAAGAGAGAGGAGAGGGAAAGGGACTAAAGGATGTGCTTGGGAGCTGCCTGTGACTTTGTACAAATAGCCTAACCCTGGACCACCTCACTTTAGACTCAGTTATCTTTGTGGTGTAGCCTCATGGGACAGCAGCCTTGTCTGGGCCGAAGGAGCCTGGTTGGACAGTCTGTGGGATGAAACCTTACTTCAGGGCACTGCCAGAGGTGAAGGCCAAGCTTCTTGCCTTCTCTGTGCCCCAGTGAAGAGTTTGTTAAGCTATTTCAAATTAACTTTCATTGTTTTTTACCTGTGTTTTAAATTCGTGCCCAGTTTTTCCTTTACCATCTTGGGAATATATATAGTACAGAAATGACTCAAATATGGGAGTATGACATCTCTTCCTCCTGGTCCTGTCTGAAATGGTTGTGATTTTGATCACGTGGTCACCCCGTCCTTGGGGCTGGCCATCATCCAGGGATCCATGTCCTGCACTTCAGGCTCCTTCAGCCCATTGGAGGCTGCCCAGAGAGCTGTGGGGGCCTCTTCGCTCTCCCACTCTGCTCTGCACTGCTCCTTGGACCAGCTATCTGTGGGTCCCAGCCACGCTCTGCACTCACTTAAACCATGCTCCCCTGGCTGCTCACTTCCCTGCTTTTTCTGTAAAAGAGCCTGCAACTGGGGACCACCCTGGGCCCTAAGGGATCTGAACCTTCCCCTTAGGCCCCTCGCCTTCTGGCCACTCAACTCGACTCCTTCCAGGGGACATGCTTTCCCAGTAACCACTTGTTCTCTGTGCCTGCTCACTGTCCACTCACCTCTTGAGGGCTCAGAGCCAAAATGAATTATTTTCTGGGAAGAACAGTCCTGTCCAGCCTTGAGGAAGAGGGATAATTGGAAGGGAAGTGAATATTTATTATTGCCTTTGCCACTGTTGCCCTCATCCTCAGCTCTCTCGTAGGCTGGTCTCATAAAAAATGACACCCGTGTCCTGGGCTTGAAAGCTTTGGGCTCTGCCCCTACGGGGTGGCAAGACATGAATTCAAGCCTCACCCCGCGTCTTCCCTGGCTGCATAGTGGCTCTGTTTCCTGTCTCCTACCCTCGAGGCAGCCCTGTAGAAACAGTCGCTCATTGCCCTTCATCTGTCAGGCTCTCCTACATGACCACAGCAGCCCCTCCTGGTCTCCCACCTCCCCTCTGCTCTTCCAGTTCATCCACACAATAACCCCAACCAGCTTCTAAAACACACCCTGGCCTGGCCCTTGCTTATACCTAACCTTCCTAGGCTTCCTGTACCTCAGGTGTAACTTCCCTGCCACCTCCCCAGCCTGTGGGGGTCACCTTCTCACCTCTCCCTTCTGGCCTCTGTATCAGTCCCACTGGACGCTTGGCAGTTTATTAGCTGTGCTGGGTGTTTCTGAGTTTGGAGCAACCTTGTGCACACTATTTCCTCAGCCAGTAGCTGCCGCCCCACTCTGCCTGGCAAAGTCAGACTCATCTTTCAGGCTTGGCTAAGATGTCTTACATGCCAGCCCAGGCCATGTGGACTGCCTGAGAGAGCATTTGGGAGAGCAGGATCCCCAGCCTGGAGAACAATTTCCTGAGTGTTAGTGCTGCGAGCCTTTTATAGGGATGGGTCTGGTGGCCCCTCTTCCTCTCTGTGTCTCTTTCTTCCCCTGGGGCATGGGGCATAGGTGGCTGCCTGGCCCATCTGGGGCCGCCCAGACCCAAGGCCTCTAACCTTATAGGCTGAGCAGAGTCCTCGAGGTGAGCCAGGCCATCCCTCCTGTAAAAGGGGAAACGGAGGCTTTGTGGGGCCCCAGCCTGGAGCATTGTGCTATCCTCTTCAGCACAGTGACCCTGAGGGATCTGCCAAGAGCAGCCGGTGGTGAGAGGGAGAGGCCGGCCTTAGCTATACCACCTAATCCCCAGTGAGGTCGGTGCTTGTCCCTGCCCTCTATTGTTGGCTCTTCAGATTGTGACTTTATACCCCTTAATCTTCCCCCTTTGCACATCTCTCTGGGCCGGCGCTGCTGTTGCGGCCCAGGCCTCTCCCTAAGACCTTCTGATTAGGAGACCATGGGTGGAGAAACAAGATCGCTGCTCCCGTCCTGTGCATAGGGCAGACAGGCCACAAGAGAAGCCATGAGCAGGGTCATGCCACATGTGCAACCATTCTGTTATGTGCAGGGCTAGAGGGGCGTGCTTCAGGGGTTCAGGGCCTCTGTGTCTGGGGCCCAGGGAGTGTGCCAGTGTCTGTGAGCACACGTGGGTGTACCCTTTTCCTGGCAAGAGGCCTCAGGGCATTCAGGCACTCTGCGTCCCAGTTGCCCAGGAATCTGCCCCATTTTCTAGAGGAAGGGTCTGAGGTTCATGGGAAGGGTCTCCACGGGATCATACACTCTCTGTGGAGAATTACGGTCACCCTGACCCTGTGAGGAGCCCAGACTTAGCTGACAGCTGGGGTTCTCCCTTCCAACAGCTGCAGAGCCTTCCCCCATTCCCACCTTTCTCTGCGCTGGTGGATTTTTTTGAAACCTCCCCAGTGCCATAAATCATGCTGGGAGCTGCTTTCTGCGCTTTCCAGCAGGCAGCAAGCAACTGAGCAGGGATTTCCCCGTCCTCTGCAACAGGACAGGAGCCCCAGAGGCTGCTCCTGGGGCTGCCCGATGTCCTCAGATAGGCTCTCGCTATCCAGTCAGGTCCTGAGGAGTAGACTGGGTAGGTGCAGTGAGGCAAACTCCCAGGGCTCCTGTCCCCAGCCCCCCAGCTCCACCTCTCACAGAGGGCCAGCCACCGGGCCCCAGAGCTTGCCACAAGTTGCCAGGCTCTAACCTTCACTGAGAGCTGGGCCTGGGGATGGGGTGGAGGTGGGTACAGCAGGAGCTGCAGCCAAGGTGGGGGTGTATGTGGCCGGAGCCCATGTGTAGGTTGCATTCCAGTCCCTCATCCCCCGTCCCTGGGCTGTCACTTGGGCATGTGACGGACTCCATACACGTCAGTTGCCTCATCTATAAAAGGGTTTGCACGGCCTGAGTGGGAGTCAAGTTCAGAAGGATCAAAATATAGAGCAGTTGGTAGGGGGAGGTTATCTCTGCAGCTAATTCAGCTCCCTTAGGACAGGGCAGCCCCAGGCTGGGCGCCTAGGGTGGGTGCTTCAAATGGGCCCTGGGTTCCCAGGAGGTGGCACCGGCAGTGGTGGACCTTAAGGGAAGGAGAGTGAATAGCATGAGAAATGAGGCTTTTAAAAAAAAATTAGACAATATTTTGGATTTCAAAGGCTTGCGTGCTTGTAAAACTTTTCTTGAAAAGTATAAAGAAGTAAAAAACTCACCCATAATTCCACCACTCAGATAAAACCACCGTTAACATTTTGCTGTCTTCCAGGGTTTTTTTTTATGCATTTATATATGTTATATATTTTTAAACAAAAATAATATCATGCTATATACATTATTTTATAAGCTGCTTTTTTTCCTATTCACACAGTACATCATGACACCTTTTCTCATCAGTGCATGTAAGTCTGCTTAATTTTTACACAGGCTGCATAGCATCTCTGCTGTAGACGTGCATATATATTTAATCAGTCCCCCACAGGTGAACACTTAGGTTATTTCTATTTCTTGTAACTCAGTCTCTGCCCAGAACCCTGCTATTCCCTTGGGCTCATTCCTAGAGGTGAGGTTGCTGGCTCAAAATGTCTGCATGTTTTTGAGGCTCTGCCTTCTGGAAAGGTCACTGACCCTCCCTACAGCCGAGGTGGCAGGGAGGGTGAGCTGGGGGCATGCCCCAGCCTGGGCCTGGGCTGTGCCCACCTCGAATTCTCTCAACTTTTTCTTCTCTCTCTAGGGTTGAACCCATCAGACCCACTGTCTTCCAGTACCCCGTGGGCTGGCCACCAGTCCAGGAGCTGCCTCCATCTCTGCGGGCACCCCCACCTGGGGGGTGGCCCCTGCAGCCCAGCGTCCAGTGGGGCTGAGCCCCTCAACCCCACCCAACCCCCACCTGGTCAGCTTCCACAACAGTCACAGTAAAGATAAGGGCTCATACTGGGGGACACCGAGGCTGCCTCCTGCTGTGCCCCATGGAGCCTCTGAAACCATCAGCTCGGCGTGGCCTGCCCTTGCTAAGGCCTAGGAGTTCCCTCATCAGGTGCAGCCCTGGTCCTAGCTCTGTACCATTCAGCTCCATCCTCCCTCCCTCATGGGACATCATGGGAAGACGGGTGAGAAAACTTCCTTCTGGATGTTTATAAAGAGTCTGTCTGTGACGGTGTGGCTGCACTTCTCCCTTGCCGGGTGCCCTCAGCTGTCTGCTCTGGCCCCTGGTCAGAGGAAGGGCAGGACTGGAGTGAGATGAGGTCTTCTCCAGGGTGATGGTGCTTGCAGCCCTTCTCCCTTGGGGACCAGCAGAGGGTGGTCAATGTGGCTGTGACCACCCAGGTGAGAAGTGACTCCAGATCTGGGAAGAGGAGCTCAAGGACTCGGTCTGTCATTCCAGCCCCCATGTCTGCCCATGCTAAGCTGGTGCCCGAGCGTGAGATGGCACAACTGGGGCAGGGCTGGGAACTGGGGCTCCAGCTTAGGTGGTGTAGAGAAATAGGGGGACCCGGGAGGACAGGCCCTGGGCTTGATAGAGTTGCCTGGCTGAGCTTCCTGGCACCAACATGAGCCCCTCCAGAGCTCTGCCCTGGAGGAGCCCCCTTGCCAGTGGGGAGATCACCGAGGCTGCTCAGGAGATTTGGAGTCTCCAGGCCCCAGCTCTGCTTCCTTCCTCAACTATACTTCGGTTCTAGATTCTGTGCTGGGGTGGTAGCGGGCAACGTGGCCCCCAGGTCACTGGGCCTCTGGTGGGGGTACCCAGAAGATAGGGGGACTGCAGGGCCACTTCAGTTGCCCCATCCTCCATGAGCTTCTGCCCTTCCTGAAAATCCTATTGATGGGGGAACTGAGGCCACATCTGGGGGCCCTGTGAGCCTCAGGCTCCTCACCTGTGAAATGGGCTAGTTGTCACCTCAGCGGGTATGTGGAGGAGGGCTGGATATGAGTCTAAGGAGGGTCAGAGGAAGGGACCCAGCAGAAGCCAGTGGCCTTCTCAGGCCATGCCAGGGAGTGGGGCCCAGGAGACCCCAGCCTCACAGCCCCTCCAGGAAGAGGCTTTCTGTCCCACCTCTATCATCCAGCCCACGGCCTAAACATGAGGGAACAGGGTCGGGCTGGCTGTGTGGCCCTGGGTACTGCGTGCCCTTCCTGCCTAAGGAACCACAGCAGCTATAGGGCCCTGTACAAATTCCTCCTTAATTTCCCGGGAGCCCATGGACAGCGGGAAGAGTTTTAGTGCTACATACAGGCCAGGGTGGGGCATGGGCAGGGTGCAGGCAGGGCTGGTGGCCGTCCTCAGAGCCACCACCAGGCCCTCCACAGCTGGGCCATGGCTCCATGCAAGGCCGGTGGAGTGGGTGGGGTGTGGCCTCTGGATGTCCAGGCCCTGAAGTACACGCAATGGTGATGGCCCAGGGAGCCGGCTGAGGGAGAGGGCTGCAGGCGGTGGTGGTGTGGAGGTGGCCCCCATGCACCGAGTGCGCCAGATGCGGTGCCCTGGTGGCGCCTATTTCATGCCGCTGCGCAGCACCTGGTTGGCTGCAATGAGCATGACGCTGATGATGAAGGCGATGGCGAAGGCGCAGATCAGACTCTTGCGCACGCACGTCTGACGGATCTGCTGGTTGGAGCAGGCTGAGGCCACCCACCAGGGAGCACCAGAGAGACAGAAGGGGACAGCGGAGCAATGGAATCAGGAGCTGCCTGCACTTCTGCACATGGGCACTTCCCATGGGGTGCGCAGGGACACCGGGTTTGGGGCAGGCAAGGAGGCTCCAATCCCCCTCTGCAAACCCCTGGTTCCTCCCCTGCTCAAGCAGTTGACCCACCCAGGGGGTCCCAGGGGTCAATCACTCACTCTCCACGTCCACGGGGCACTCCTCAGCCGTGCCCAGGTGGCTCTCCTCCTCCGTCATGATAATGTTCTCGATGTCCTTCATGGACAGGTGCTCACAGAAAGTGTCGTAGAGCAGCCGCTTCAGCTCGTCCACTGTCAGCTTCTGCATGTCGCACTTGGGTTGGGGGAGACACAGTGCTCTGGCCACCACCACCACCACAGTCCCCACCCTGCACCTGCAGCTACACAAGTCAGGGATGAGCCTCCAGATTCTGGAAGGATGGAAACCACTTGCTCCATTCCTCAAGTCGTTGACCAGCACACGCCTCCCTACTGTCCAGTGGACAGAAGCCTGGAGTGGTCATCCCCTCTTTACAGAGTGGGCTTGGCCATTCACTGGCCCCAGTACAGCCCTCTACACTGCACAGCCCTGGATCCCAACCAGCCATGGCATACCTTCCAGAAGACAGTATCAAAGTCAGTGCCGTGGAACCTCTCTGGGATCCCCGAGGTGGAGAGCTTGGGTCCCAGGAGGGTCACAAACTCCTCAAAGTCCACTTGGCCATCACCTAGAGTCAGCACAGGTCCAATCAGTGGGGTCAGTCTGCAACTGGGTGGGGTCCCAGCCCACTTAGGGGACATTTGCGACCTCAGGTAAGTCCCCTCCTTCTCTGAGCCTTAAGTCAATTTCAGGGACACCTAACATGCCAGGCTCTGGGCTAATGCTGAAAGACACCAAATGTGATGAGGCCCCACTGACGAGGTGGGCCCTGAGCATGTGGGAGATCCTCACATTCCACTTGGACCCTCCGTGGCTTCCCAGCACCCTGCTGCTATCCCAGGGTGGGTGTAGGGCCTAACATCGTCCCTACCACACAGGCGGGTAATGAAGCTCAGGAGGAGACAACCTGCTCAGGCTGCCACCTGCTCTCTAGGTGGAGAGAAGGCAGGGGGAGGGGTGGAACAGGGGAATGAGGAGGGAACTGGGCATTATTGGTCCTTAGGAGTTTTTTCTTAATAAAATGCCAGGTGGCAAATACAATTAAATTAATGATTTTTTATTTCGGGTGGTGAGGCCTGGGATATTTAGTATATCTTTTCTACTTTTCTGTACTTAAAATTTTTTCTCGGAATACACAGAGAGGGGCAGAGTCTCTGACCTCTGCGGGTGGCTGGGGCTGTCACACTCTGGCCTTCATTCTCCAGGCTGAGAAATGAGTCCAGACCTGGCTGCAAACGGGCATGGGCTTGGGGGTGGCTGGGAGTGGACGAAGTGAGAGGCTCCCAGTGGGCTCAGCCTCAGTGGCTCAGGCCCCAGACCTGGCCCCCGACATGAGGGGTGAGGAAACAAGCATGTAGCAGCACTCACCATCCATGTCCAGCCGCTGGATGATAACTTCCAGCTCCACCTCGTTGGGCATGTAGCCCAGGGAGCGCATGGCTGTGCCCAGCTCTTGCTTGGAGATGAAGCCGTTGCCATCACGGTCAAAGACTTTGAAGGCCTCTCGGATCTCTGTGGGATGGAGGTGGAGCAAAGCAGGTTGAGACTTTACTCCCATTCCCAACATCCCGCTTCCCAGACCTCCAGAATCACTGAACCCACAGCCCAAGCCTGGCATTGAGAATCCACTAGAGCCTGCAGGTTTGGTCAGAGACAATTGGCAGATGGCCCAAGAGTCCACCATAGCAGCCCCTGGGAGCGCAGGACGGAGCAGACAGCAGAGGTGTGCCCAGTGCAGCAGTGACCAGACTGTCCCCAGGATCTTGGTCTCAGAGCACTAGGCTCCTACAACCTCTCCAGGCATACTCACAATGACCCTGTGTTGTGGGGACCACGGGTCTCACTGTGCAGGCGAGGACACCAGGCAGCCAGTGATTTCTGTGAGCTGCCAAAGGCTTCCCTGCCCACCCCACACTCCCATCTCCACTCTCCCTGGGCCCCATCCCACACTTCCTCCCCCTGCTCAGCGCTCATCTCTTTAACACTGGCCAACACTAATGGCAGCCACGTGAAGCAGCCGTGCCCGACTAATGGACTGACAGCTCAGCACAGACTTCTCTGAGAGCCCAAGGTTTGCGGAAAGACAGAGGCCTGACGGAAGGGCCCCAGCAGGCCAGGCCAGCTCGGATGTAGGGGTTTCTCCCTTTACCCCATCATACAGAGGGGAAGACAGGCCTGAGGACCTGGGTAACTTGGATGGGGAGCCTGGGAACCAGCAATTCATTGAGTGACCTTGGGCTAGCTTCAGACTTACCCACAGTAAAATGGGCAGTAATGATATCGAGGTAATGATATCAGGACAAGGGTTTTACCAAGGACATCCAGGAACTATTGAGGGTCCTAACCTCTTCTAACTCACCTTCGTCTACCTCTGTCTCTGCCTGCTGTCCCTGCATTGTTAGCCCAAGAATGGTCCTCAGGAGCATTTTCCTCTGGGGGAAAGCAAATCTCAGTCCACTCACAACCTCTCTGCTCCAGCTCCCTGGGTCTCCTTGTTCAATTTACCTGCCAGCCTCCTGGCCTTTGTCTCAGCTGTTCCCCTGGTGGGACTTCAATAGGCAAAGGCGAGCTTGTGTGCACGCATGTATTTAGAAATAGAGACAGATGAGATCCCCGCACGCTACAGACTTGTAAAATGAGACTCAGAGAAGCGAGGTGGCCAGTCTAGGATCACTGTGGGGTCAAGGCTATTTCTGGTGAGAACAGGAGTTAGGCTGGCCTGGGCCTGGTCTTAGAAGGGTCTGTGAACCCCTGAATCCTGCACCTTGGGGTCATTCCCTGTTCCTTCTGGTCCCACTATAGCCCAGAGAGGGTGGCTGTATATCTCAGGTCACACCGCAAGGTGGCTTGAGCTGAGGTCCCAAACTTCATCAGGTTCTTCCCACCGGTGTCTGCACCCAAGGCCTGGAGGTTAGATTAGTTGACATGCAGGCCCAGAGACAGCAAGCTTCACCTGAATTGTCCCCCAGACCCTCTGACTCTGAACCTTTGCCCTACCCATCCCACGCAGGACCTAAGAATCTGCAGAAGAACAACTGGGATGGGAAATCTGTAAACCCTGAAATCTGTGAACTTCAGGCTAACTCCCACCTAGAGTTTTCCCCAGGCCACTGAGGAATGGTGAGGTCCCCATCCCCAGAGGTGTATGAGTAGAGACCTGACAGTTAGGGAGGCTGCTCTCCAGTTGCCTGGTAGAGATAGAGGCACTGGCCACACAATCAGGCACACCCTCTGCCCCTCTCCCCTCCACGCACACACTTAGGTCTCTGGCTGGCACTATTGCCTTCCTTCCTGACCCAGCCACAAGCTCTGCCCACCTCGGGTGTCCTAACTCCAACCCATTTTCCTTTCAGTCCTGTGGGTACCAGGATTGCTCCAGCTCCAGGCATTCGAACATGCAGCACCTTTTGCCTGGAATGCTCTTCCTTCTCCGTGGTGTACTTTAATTCACCCCGCTCCCAGCATGGACACATCACCTCCCTGGTGCCCTCTCTACCCCCAAGCTGACTCTGGCCCTCCTCTGGACTCCCACAGAACCTGCTCTTCCCAAGTCCTTGCACTGACCACATTGAATTGTGAACTATAAATGGCATGAGAGCAGGGACCAGGTTGGTCTGGTTCATGGCTGTGTCCCCACTACCTAGTGCAGTGCCTGTCATTCAAACAGAAACATTTGCTGCGTAAATGGTTAAATGAATAACTGATTTGGGGAACCCAGCCGTCTGGAGCTCACAGAGAAAGTTGCTAAGCAGAAGTTTAGGCACTACTTCGTGTGAGGTCATCACTGAGATCTCAGGGTGTGATGACAAAACCTTGAACACCCCTGTGGGGCTGCAGTGGTTGCTGGCCCCCTCCCCTTCAGTGAGCTGGTGTCCAGGCTGTCCCTCCCACCCTGGCAGGGGCCGGGTGTGAATCCCAGAGCCCAGAGCGCTGCTTCAATTGGAAGCCCTGACCCCCTTCTGGAAGCCCTAAGGAAATGCACTGGGCTGATGGGATACAGTGGAGGGCAGGTGAATCTTGGGGTATATGGGCAGGCAACGGGCCAAGAGGCAGGCCATGGGCCGCATGGCCATTTCTCAGGCAGGACTAACTTCCCAAGACCACTAGATAAAGCCAAAGATTGCCACCTCCACATCCACATGTCCCTTCAGCCACCCCTCTCTGGCATGCCCAGCTCACACCTCAGGCCTGCGCCTGTGCCTTTGTCCATTCTGAGAGCCCTGCCTCAGCCCCAGCTGGCTGACTCCTGAGGCCAAGTTCAGGGATCACCTTCTCGGCCAGATGGTCATTTCTAAGTCACACTGACTCAGGTTCAAATACCAGCTCTCTTATATCCTGGCTGGATGACCTTAGGCTGGGATTTGCTCACCTGTACAATGGGGCTGCAGGATGGCTAAATAAGAAAATCAGTTGTGTAAGTGCTTGGCAGCGCTGGGCTTGGCTCAGAGCAGGACACAGTAAATCAGAACGTCACAGACAACAGAGCCGGAAAAGGAGAGAAAGGACTAGGTGAGCTCTAGAAACCAGACCAGCCTTCTTGTTGGCTGGTGCTGGGACCTGGGGGCCCGTGCTTGGAGTCTGGCTCCGCTGATCAACAGCTGAATGACGGGCAAAGGCATTTCCCTCTCTGAGCCTCAAATGCCTTATCTGTGAAATGGGGACACGACTTTTGCTCCATCGCTGAGAAGTGGACCCTGCTGGGGGTTCCCTGAATGGGGCGGGTGTCACGACTTCCCTGTTGTTGCTACTTCCATTAGCATATCCCAGCTGGGTGCATTTCCCCGAAAGCTTCACTCTGTTCTTGCCCCATGATGCTGGAGGAAGCCTGCTGTGCTCCATCTTGGCATGGGGATGCCTGGCCCGGGAGAGGGCTGGCAGGGCCTCCAGGCAGGGCTGAAACTGTTCCCCACCTGCAGCCTCTAGCCTGGCCTGTGGAGCTGTCAGGGCCTGAATCCCCAACATGTTCCAAGTGATGCCAGCACTCTGTCAGGGAGCCGGAGAGGGGATGTATGGGCTAGAGGTCACTGCGGGGGTAGGACAGTGTCTATCCTCTGCAGCGATTAGTGCTCTTCCTGGCATTAGTCCCACACCCCATCACTTCAGCCTCCCTGAGTTTCTGGCCTGCACAGAGGCGGCTGCTGGGCTTGCAGGAAAGAGGGGAAGGAAGGGGGACTTCCCTGCTCCTCATACCCAAAATGCTCCTATTTGGCCACTCTCGAACCTCTGTCCAACTGAGCAGGCCAAGTGCCAGCCGCAGAACCTTGCCCTGATGGCTGTCTTCCTGTTGGTCTCCCTCCTTCTCTGGTCGGAGAGGGCAGGGCTGGGGCTTGCAGCCTCCCCGATTCCCACTCTCAGATGCTCACGTCCGCTGATGCCACTGGGGCCAGCCTCAGTGCTCCTGCAGACCTGGGGGTCTTTGCTGTGTGTATATATTGGGGAGGAGGTATAGGAAGAATCTGGGAGAGCCTCTCACAGGGGGCAGGTCATCCCAGACCAGCTCTGTTCAGCCACATCTACCCTGCCAACTGCCTCCCAGACACAGGATCCTTGGTGCCTCTGCCAGACCTCCAAGGCCCCTTCCACCCAGTCCCTTACCCTGCCTGCCTTTCTGGCCAGGCCCGCTGCATACCCTGTGGCCCTGCCTCATGGGCCTTCACCGATCCCTCTATATTCCAGGCTCTAGAATATACACCTGCAGGGCTACCCTCCTTGGCCTCCCCGTGGTCCCTGTGTCCGGTCCCTGAGCCCCAACTGCATGCCAGGCCTCATACTGACAACTTACATTGCATCCTGTCACCAGCAGCCCTGGGGAGGGCAAATGCCAACCCCCTTTTACAGATGGGGAAACTGAGGCAAGAGAGACAAGTGATTGCCCAAGGTTACTTCATGAGACTAGGGTGCAGAGACTCGAACCCAGTGCTGCCTAGCTGGGAAGCTCATCTTAAACCTGGGTGCTCCACCTCCCTTCCTGGTCCTCCTCCCCCTTGGACTAACCACCCCCTGGATTTCTGCGGCAGGCACATACTGTCTGCAGCATTTCATCCCAAGCTGCCAGGCTCCCTCTTCTCAGCACATGTGGCTCCCCCACTGATGGGCATCCTCCCAGCAAAGGCCTGGGTGTTACCCAGACTGCCCTGGGACAGAAGCACTAATGGAGTACTGGGGAGGCGGAGGGGTCCCGGGGGCATCTGTGCCAGGAATGGTCACTCTGTCCACGCAGCCCTGGCATTCAAGGATCACTGGGGCCTGCAGAGACTTGGTCTCCTAGATGAGGGTTTTCAGGGTGTCTGCAGCCAAGAAGGGGTCAGTCATGTGGGATTTCTTGACCTCATCTATAGCGGCCCACGGGCCAGGAGATGTGCCGGGGCCACTTTAGGCCTGTGCCAGGCCCCTCTGCTCCTCAGGGCCCAGCAGAAGGGGACAGGAGAGAAGCAGGGAGTGCGTTTCATATGGCTGGTGACTAACGCTCCTGGGCTCCTGCCAGTGTGTCCGCCAGGAGGCCCAAGGGGAGCCTGCGGCCTCCTTGCCCCTGCACTGCCCGCCCTATGTCCCGCTCACCCCTGCATCCTAGCCTCCTCTCAGCTTCTCCTCTTTCTTGGGGTCTACATTCCAGGGCTAGGAGATCAGGAGAGGTGGAACCCAGTGAGGCCCAAAGCAGGGCTGCCAGGGTCATGGTGGGTGCTGGGAGCAAAAGGAGGGAATGAGGTAGAAGCTGCCTCACTGTGCGGGGACGATGTTAACCCCTGCCTGAGTGGCCAGGAGGAAGGAATGGATGAGGAATGCAAGGGGGCACTGGCAGAGGTTTGGGGTGGCCCAAGGCAGAAAGAAACAGTTTTAGGAAAGAGATGGCCTATGCCCCATTCCCTGGCCTCTTGCCCCTCATCATACCTTCTCTTTCTCCCAGGCCCTGTCTGGGGCTCTAGTTTCTGGGGTTTGGCCCAGACAGGGCAGGGACTTGGACTCTAGGGTTCAAGGCTAGAGATCCTAGAGCAGCACCTACCCATTTGACCTGCTCACATCAAATACCAGACCTTGTCTCCATGGCTATTCTAGTCTCTGAGAGCTTTTGGGGGGACTTGGTGAGGAGGAGGTAGCTCATAGCCTGTGGTGCAGTGGGGTTGGGGGTGGATTAGCTGCCTTCTTCCTTTTGATCTACCCCTTAACCCAGTCTGACTCCCCCAAGATCTGTCCCTTCCGGGGCTTGAGGATAAGGGAGGGCCTCTCTCCATGCCTTCTCATGTGCCCCCACCATCATCCCTGACTGCACTGGTGTCTCAGCGGCATCCGCCCCCTCAGTCCCTGATGAGTTCCAGGTCTCAGAGACCCCTGGACGGAAGATACCAAAAAGAGGCCCAGCCCTAGGGTGATCTCAGCCCCTCCCCCAACAGTAGACAAGCAGATCACGGGTTGCAAAGACTCCCATTAGCCCAGAGTCCTCCACTCCACTCCATGTGGGACCCCAGGAGGTCTGGGGGAGGGGAAGCCTGACCACTTGCCCCCATCCCATTAGAGAAAGGGTTCCCAGGTCCCAGGGATCTCACTGCCCTCCAGAATTTTCCATCCAGGGACCACAGCCCCTTCCCTCTGCTCCAATCTCATCTAGTCCGGCTGCCTAAGGTCCCCTATTCATGTCAAAGGCAAAAGGACTTTGGGGGGCAGGTTTCGGTCTCTGCCTCTCTGCCTTTCCTTTCCAGGCTCGGTTATCACGACCAAGCCGTTGAATCTGGCCACTTGTTGTCGCCACCACCTCCCGGGCCGCCTTCCCTGCGCTCTGGGCTGGGGGGGCCCCTGCAGGGCTGTGAGGAAGGGGCTAAGGCCGCAAGGGGCTGAGGGCAGCCCTGCAGCTGGCAGGAGCAGGGCAGTCGCCCTCTCCCCTTCTCCAGCTGCCCAAGCAGATTGGATTTTAAAAGCGACACGAGTGGAATGTCAATACGAGCGCAAAGCCGCGGGCGGGCGCCACGGAGGGGATCCGGACGCGGGTGCTCTGACTGGGTCGGCGCAAGGGGCGCAGCTCGGACCCCTACCCCAACCTGCTGCGTTGCTGCACCGTCACCGAGGACTGCGCGGCCCCGTGACCCCGCTGCAGGACCCAGCAAGTTTCCGCAGCGTTGGGAACCACGCGGGCAGGGGAAGGGCCGCCTCTCCGCCTTGGCGACCCCCACAGCAGCGCCCAGGGGTGCGAGCTGGTCTAGCCTCCCCGCGCAGCTGCTCGCTGGAGCGCCCACCTGACAGCAGGCACCTGCGGACAGCCCCGCGCCCCTCAGCGCCCCTAGCCCGCGCTTCACCTGGGCGCACAGGTAGGAGGGCCAGCGGGCGGGGGTCCCGGCGGGGCACTCACCCTCCAGCTCATCCTCAGGGATGTCCACGGGGCGCTGCTCTGACAGCAGGTTGGGCACGGTGTAGATGCCCCGGTACATCAACGCCGCCGTCACCGGGTGGAACGGCATCTTGGAGGCTCCGCGCCCGCCCGCCCGCCGCAAACTTTGAGGTCG